TCAAGTGGTAGAGCACTTGCCTTGAGTGAAGAGCTCAGGGACAGTACCCAGACCCAGAGTTCAAGCCCACAACCAACAACAAAGAAGAAAGGAGGAGGAGGAGGAGAGGAGGAGGAGGGGGAGGAGGAGGAGGAGGAGGAAGGAAAGAAAGAAAGGAAAGAAGTGAGGAAGAAGACCTGGAGATTTGGGGTGGGGATGGTAGCCTTGAGATGCCATTCTTTGGCCCTGCTCTTGGAAGGTTTATGCTCTCGGAAGCAGAGAGAAACACACACACACGCGCGCACACACACACACACACACACACACACACACACACGCACATACACATGCATGCGCACATGCGCACACGCAGGCAGGCAGGCAGGCAGAGAGAGCAAGAGAGAAATAGAGAAACAGAGAGAGAGGAAGGAAGGAGGTAAGGAAAGGAGAGGAGATTTGGGGATGCAGAAAGTCATGGGAGGAGATCACTCAAAGTAAACTTCACAGAGGAAGTGACATCTGGGTATTAGTTGGTTTTCACCTATTTTCCATTCTTCCTAACCTGACAGTATAAAAACCACAGTTTCTCATAGATGGTGCAAGTTCCTTGTTCTTTGGGTGGTACTGGCCATACTCCTGCCATCTTCTAAGGTGGAATTCATATTTCACCTGGACTTTGTTAATGCGATTGGCTCAGATATTGGCATATGCCCCAAGACAGATAACTCAAGGAATCTCTGGGTCTGAATTGAAATTGCCAAAAGCGTATATTATCTATCTCCTAGATTTGCACCAAGAAAGATCTTGGGAGTTACTGTGGCCATCTTGGTACCATGAAGAGTGCTTCTGAGTTTAAATTTGGAATGGAATCCCAGAAATTAAGAAAACAATGAGGGGGCTGGGAAGGTGGCTCAGTGGTTGAGTGCTTGCCTTGCATGCCTGAGGCCCTGGGTTCGATTCCTCAGTACCACATAAGCAAAAAGAAAAAAGCCGGAAGTGGCGCTGTGGCTCAAGTGGTAGAGTGCTAGCCTTGAGCTTTAGAGCTGAGGGACAGCACCCAGGCCCAGAGTTCAGGCCCCACGACTGGACGCAAAAAAAAAAAAAAAAGAAAGAAAAGAATGAGGTACATACTGAACTTTACTTGCGTTCCTGATATGGATTCAGATTATCCAGTTACTGAAAATAATCAATTTCCTTTCCTGCTGGGGCCATCTGAGCTGAAATTTGTAACTGCAACCTCCAAACAGAGAGAAAGCCAAATGCAAAAATCTACTCAAAACAGGATGGCTTGTTTAAAGCAAGACCTAAATCAGAACCTAGAGAAGAAAGGGTGGTAATATGTGAGTTGGTCCAGCAAAGCTATGTGCTAATAGTTAACTTTCCAGGACTTTCTTCTGTGCCAAGCATTGTTCTGAGGTGTTTACGTGCACACTCTTCTTCTTCTTGAGGCTGTGTGGTAAGCAGTGTTATTATACTCATTTTGTAGAGAAGCAAACAGAAGTGTGAGAAGCTCGGTAACAGGCCTGAGGTCAGACAACTAAAACATGTACATGTGGAAACCAACTCAAAACAGCTCAAACCTAGGCTAGACAAAAAGGATAGGTTAGTTTAGGCCTCCATTCAGGGTCAGATGGGTCACATGGCCAAGGAAAGCCAATAGTTACTTGGAAGTAAGGGGAGATGAGGATTGGAGAAATAGTGGACTAACGGTCATTGGTGCTCCTTGGGGATGGCATTTCAGGGAGAGGTAGAGTGGAAACCCATTTGTAAGGTGTGAATTGGAGCCAGGTAGAAATAAGGGTAGGTAAGGAAGAAACAGTGAGGAATAGCCATTTTGTAAGGCACCACAGAGATGAGGAACATAGGTCTCAGCCAGGAAGAAACAGGGTCTAATGAAGGTTTTGATTTTTCCTTTTCCTAAGGTTGGTGATACTAGAAATTATTTTCTAGGCACAGGCAAGATAATGGGAGGGTTAGGCTCAAAGACTCCTAATAGGCACCCTGAGGGAGAGAGGTCCACAGTAGGCTGGAGAGAGCACCGTGTGAAGTTAGGGGGACAGTCAGCTACAAATGTGCACTTCTTCCTTTGGGAAAGAGAAGAGTCAGGGAGCAGATGTCAGATGTCAAGAATACAAACATCCAGAAAAGCTGGAGGCAAAGGGTGAAGGTATTGGCAAAGGAAGGAGAAGAGAAGCCATTAGGAAGACAGTGGCCAAACAAGAAACACTTAAATACCTGTGAGTGTTCATGTGGGTAGGGCAGGAGGGCCAAGCAAGAGGAACAGGTAGGTTATCCTAGGGCTGTTCTTGACCTTGTTCCTGGCTGATCCAGGTTATTGTTCCTTTTAAGTTTCCCTTCTGAGTTTTTTTTAAGATTTTGAAATATTTTTAATTTAAATAAAGTTGTAAAATAATATAGCTCATTTCTTGTCCATAGTTTGACTCTATCCATTACCCTTATTTATCTAATCCTGTCAGAAATTCCTAGATAGTCTCCCCAAGTCCTAAGTTTGTAACTTCTCTGTCTGCAATTGCAGAGACTCTGGGCCCCCAAAGGAGAGAGTTCAGGCCTTAAGCTATACTGATCATATATCTTTTGAGATGTTTAGAAAACAACAAATGCACCCTCCACAGAAAGCCATCTGAAAAAAGACCAACAGAGACCAGGAGACCAGGAGAGTGTTCCTTGGAGCACTCAAGAAATCAGGCTCCACAGATGGAAAAGAGCCAAACTTGAGCCCACTTATGGAACCTGGGTTAATCACCAGACCCTCTCCTCTAAGGACCAACCTAGTGCACAGGTGGGAAAAGATAGTAGGAGGAAACAAGGTCAGACATAGGCTTCAGTGACCTGATCTGTTCCACCCTTAGAATTGGGACTGAAAATTGACACAGCTTTCACTTTCCTGGTCACTAAGAACAATGCAGAGATCTCTTGCTCTCAGAAGGATGTCAGCATCCCACAGCTTTTCTTGGGACAGGTTTCACAGACAGGAGAAGCCCTGGCCTGGAGTATTATTGGTTTGGGGAAGAGGAAGGTTTTTAAGGGTACAGACTTTCTGCCACTTAGCACAGCTCTGCAACCACAAATCTGAGCAGTTAGGGAAATGCATGCCCACCCCCAAGTGGCCATATGTTAGAACTGCAACCCAACAAACCAGTCTACCTTCCTAGATTCTTCTGGCTTAAGTGAAAGGTGAAGTGGCCAGGCACTATTAACTGTGAAACCAGGCAGTCACAATCTCTTGGATTCAAACATTGCTCACACATCACCTTTACAATAAAAAAAGAAAAATAAATAAAAGAAACATCACATACACCTCTACTTTTGATTCTGGTGATAGGAATAAGGTCATATGTTCAATAAGGTTGAAGAACACACTAAATGTTGCTCAATTTACAAGCATCAGCTCCGGACTGTGTCATGTCCATCAGATGCTAAGTTTCCACCTCAACAAAATGAGACAAATTCTTGTGTGGTTGTTAAATGCTACCTACACTTCTTATCCAAGGAGATTTAAATATATACCCACTCTGGCCTGAGTCAGAATCCCTGGTTAGGAGGAAGGAATGTGGGATTTATTTTTTGGTGTGCTTCCCCAGCAAGATAAAATGTACCTCGATAGTGGCAGCTGGGGACAATGGACAAGATTGCTAATTTACAGAGTCAGAAATGTGTTTAATTCATTTTGGATCCCCTAGTACTGGCCAAAATAAAGTGTCATATAGTACATATGGAATGAATGAATGAATAAATGAATGAAGTGGGTGAAAATGTTTCTGAGGCCCCGTACAGCATTGGTAGCCTATAATTCTACCATATACATGATCACCCAGACAGAACATTCTACATACGTGCATAGACATGCTGCCACTGGGGGGTAGAGGGATGTGGCCTGCCACATTGCAGGTAGCCCCATCTGTCTGACTCTCTCTCCCTCCCTCACACACAAATGTACACTTCTTTCTTTGGTGGTTTGTATTTATTGAATACTCATTGGATTCATGGCCAGAAATTTGGCCACACTTACCCCAGCCATCTGGCCCCCAAGGGCCAGTCCATTTTGTAAACCAGTCCTGGTTACAAGCATCATCAGAGGGGAGGGGGATGGCCTGAGAGGAAGGCAGGAGAGGCAGTGAATCAGCCAGAAAGCAGTGGACAGGCAACAGAGGCCTCCACTTGGCAGACAGCCTACTTGCACACTTGGCTGAACAGAGACAATGGTGGCTGCTCTCACCAGCCCAGCCTCCTTTCCATAGGCAGTTCCTGAGGCCCTAAGTTTCCAAAACCTCCTCTAGAGAACAAGCTCTGCTGGGAGGCAGCCATAGTGCAGGACAAAGGCATTTTCCAGGGCAGGGCAGCAAAGAACTAGGAGTTGACTCAGAGGCAGCAAAGGGGTCCTGGCACCCCTGAGGAATGCAGTTTTAAGGGCTGTAGAAGAAGGGGTGTATGCAGGAGACTCTTAAGCGTATTTGAGGATCCTGGACTCCAACCTCAATCTATCCCTCACATACTGCACCCAATTGTGGCTCCTGCTAGGCATCCCCCAAGAGAACCATCACCATCTCTCTCTTTGCTAGAGGCCTGCACCAAGAGAACCACTATCCCTGTTCTGGGAAACAAAGGCTTCTTTTTCTCCAGAGCTCCATGGACTCCATCAGCTCCTGGCTCACACCACTGACATGCTGCACAGTTGATGGGCAATTGTCCATCAGGCTCTCTCATCTTCCCCAGTGCATGAATGTCTGTGGAGGGAAAGGAACTAGAGGAGGAAAAGGCTCGGAGCCCCAGGACCCCCCTGAGCCCTTTAAATCTGTCCAAGTTCCTTCCAGAAGATTGTCCCCTCAGTAGGAAGGGCCTAAACAACCCTGTTCCCTGGGCTATAGGCACTAGTTGCTATCTCCCAAGACTCTTCTCTGTTCTCCTGGGGCATCTACTGGCAGATCACCTCATTATCAGGGTGAAACAGACCTCAAGACTATGGCATTCCTGGTTAGAGTTTCCCAAACCCTTTCCCAAAAGCTAATAGGAAATAAGGCTGTTCTGGGTTCTGGGTGAAAAAGAAGGCATGAGATGAACTTTGGGAGTGGAGCAGATTCCTCATTTGGCTTCCCTGTTCTCTCAAGAGTAGTCAGGAGGATAAAAGCAGGTACAGTAGTCTTCAGGAAGTTCCAGAGCCAGACAACAGAGAAATGAACATTGTCCTTCTGCAGACAAGAGGTGTCTCATCCCTCGCTCAGTGGAAAAATAGGCTCCTTTCCAGGGGTTCATCTCAGATTCACCCCAGAGCAGAGGCTAGTGTCTCTGATGTGTCATGGCTTCACAGCTGATTGCGGTTCCGCTTGGGGATGATCTTCCGGTAAGTTCTGCGCTCTGAGATATTGCGCTTCACTTTGGCTGTGGTAGGGGCTTCATCCTGGTGCAGGGATGGGCTTGAGTGGGACTTCTTAAGGCTGGGCTTAGGTGTCCAAGTGCCTCCAGCTTCCTTCCCCAGCTGCTCTTCCCACAGGGCCAGGTCTCCAGAAGGGCAATGCAGACGGGCCACCAGCAGCTGCACATATGTCTCATAGCGGGTTTTCTGCAACAAATAGGCAGGCCCACTGTATAAGTACCATTCTAACTCTAGGTCAAGAAGAGGCTGGAGGGTGAGAGGCAGATCTCAGTGTCTGAAGCTATGAGAAAATACTACACCAAAAGAGTTCACAGTGCTTAAGTAACTAGATTTCAGAGCACACTTCTGATAATATGGTTTAAAGGCATGCTCTACTAATATCAGCCCAGTCTGGCTGTTCTGATATTAACTACTACCTGTTGTGTTGTAACTAACATCTTGAGATCATGTTGCAACTCCAAGACACAGTGTGCCTGGGATCAGTACAGCCCTACATTCAAGCAGCTCACATCTGGAGCTAAATAGCACTTTAACAACTGGCATCTGTACAACATGATGCTAAGTGCCCTCATCTGCTTAATCCTCCAGGGGCCTCTGTAACTAGCAGTGATAGGATCCCCAGATCGACAAGTGATTCTCCATCCTTAGTCCCACTGGATACTCATCCCAGCCTTGGGAGGACAGCTGGATACAAATCACATCTCTAATTCATGGAAAAGGAAGTGTGGCCAAGCAGGGGAGTGGTATAGGGTCAGTGCTGAAGGTCCCAGCTGGGAAGTAGTTAAGTCCTTTTATCTGTGGCCTCTGAGAAGCAGGGTGGTCTCTGTTGTTGCCATGTAAACAACCAATAAGCCAAAAGGGCTGGGCAGGGATAATGAAAACAACCCAGGGAGGAGGTGAGCTTCATGGAAGCCAGGAAGGCACAGGCAGAAGGTGATGGTGACATCTTCTTCCCAGCCTTGGCCTCTGGATGGCCTCTAACACTCTTGACCCTTGATGCTGGCACATAGTGTCAGCCTCCTGTAATGAAGCCTAACTGGAATGTGTGAATGGGAGGGAGGAGGGGTAGATTAGAAAAATGCATTTTGGAATCAGCTAGAGAGCTAATAAAGGTATGCCTTGGTTGAGATCATATGTCACTGGAGTAGCAGATAAACTTATCAGAGAAATATATCTCAATTTCCTTAAATAAATAAATCAGTGAGCTGTCTCAGAGATTCCTTAGAAATAATAATATCCACTTCAAAGTTGTTAATTAAATGAGCTAGTCCATGCAAGTAAAAAAGCCCCATAGTATGACTTATTGGTAGATAGCTATAGTCTAGTTTTTTGTCTTCAATTTAGGAATAGTCAAATACACTGCTGCGGGCCAGGTGGGGGGAGGGGAGGGCTGCTCCAGAGACAGAAAGTGAAGGGGCCACTCCTTTTGTGCGGGCTGGCTGGAAGTGTGCAGGTGTAAGCACTGATCTCCAGCGCAGGGTGGAAGGAGCTAGGGCGGGCGGGACTGAGGCAGCCAGGCCAGGGTGGCGGCGGGTCCGGAGGCCAGGAGGAATGTCCTGACAGCAGAGGGCAGCAGCTCACCTCGTACTCCAGGTACTCCTTCCGCAAGCGGTACTCCTCCAGCTCGCGGCTACGGCCCCGCCCGTCTGGTAAGTTCCTCTGCAGATCCAGGAGGTCGTCAGAGGCCGCGTCCAGGCAGTTCTCGTGGGAGCGATGCTGTTCCTCCTGGGGGGGGGGGGGAGGACACTATCCTAAATCCTTCTCCCTACTCCTCGGCTTTCGCACTCTCTGCGCCCAGGTGTGCCATCCTGTTCCTGGCTTCCGCGAACAGGAGTGCAGCTCCCCCAGCTTTCTTGACCCAGGAGCTCAGCCCCTCCCCTCCAAGTCCTCTCCCCACGGGCACTTATCGCGGAGGCCATACCAGGGAGCTCTGGGCCGGGCTGACCGGCAGGATGGGCCTCACGAATCGGCGCTGGGAGCCCACCGCTGCCGGGAAGGGTGGGGAGGAGTGCATGGCTGCTGCCAGGTTGATACGGGAAATCCAGGAAGCCATTTCCTTGGCAGTGCTGCGGGCAAAGTCAAAGGTCTCCAAGGAGTTGATCCTGATACCTGCCCTCCCCCACCCTGTCCTGCTCAGACCCTCACCTCCTGCCCCACAGGATGCAGTCTTCCAAAGCAGAAGCCCTGCCACTAGCCAGAGAGTTGCCCAGATTTTTATATGAAGGAGAAAATCCAGGAAGAATACAGATTGATATCAAATGTCAGAAATGATCCATTTTAGTGATTTCCTGGAATCCTCTATTCAGACTTGAGACTGGACTAGACATAGCCAGATAAGGCTGATGGACTGAGAACTGGGCATCCCTGGGATCTTTCCCTTCATACTCCTCAGCATCTAAAGTTTCCTGGTCAACATGGTAGCTTCCACTGAGGCCAGGGTCAACTGACAGGTATGGGGAGGGTTCGGAAGACGGGAAAACCAAGGGCAAGGAAACCTTACCACTTTCTCCCACGTTAGGGACTTACGGTGCCTGAAAGAGGTAGAGGCGCCAGTCAGCAGTCCGAAGCTGGAAAACGTGTGGCTTCTTGTTGTAGTGTGTGGCTGGACTGGCCAGGGAGTGGTGAACTCCTACAGGCTCATCCACCATCTGTCCCATCAAACTCTCCCCTTTGAGGCACTGGTCTTCTCCCTGCCACAGGACACAGGGGCCCAGAGAAGAGTTATCATCAGCTGCCCACCCTCCTCCCAACAGTTCTGGGGCTCTCCCTATCCCTGAGGCTGCCTGTCAGGGCTGTTTGACTCCCCTACCTTAAGAAAGTACAGAACCATCCCTCGAAGTAAGGTGTGGAACATCTTCCAGCCACGCTTGCCCCAGGGTGCTGTTGCAGGAACAGACATAAAAGTGGATGGTGGAGAATCAATTCCAAATGTGTCAAAGAACTCAATGAAAGGATCAGATACCCTGAAAATATTACAGGAAGGGATAGGGGAAACACAGGGAGCCTTGGCACAGGTCGAAACTTCCTAAGTAAAGATCCAGAACTGCAACAAGCCAAAGAATGGCTGACTAAATGGGATTGCATTAAACTACAAAGGACATGGTTAGCAAGATATATAGGAAGCCCACAGACTGAGAGATTTTTTTACTAGCTATACATCAGACAGGGGCCTCTTATCTAAAATATACTTAAAGCTCAAAAAAAGTAAATCCCCAATAACAAACCCTCAAAAATTTAATTAATAAGTGGGCTAAAGACTTAGAGAGACTTCTCCAAAGAAGAAATAATAATGGCCAGTAGACACAAATAAAATGTTCAACATCTCTGGCCATAGAAGATATGCAAATCAAACAACATTGAGATTCCACTTTACTCCAGTTAGAATAGCCATTATCAAGAAAACTAATAATAACAGATGCTGGGGAAGGGGAGATGTCGCCAAAGGGAATGCTACTACCTTGTTGGGGGAAATGTAAACTTGTTCAACCACTCTGGAAAGCAGTATGGAAATTCCTCAAAAGACTCCACATAGAGCTCCCCTATGACCCAGCGATCCCACTTCTGGGCATTTACCCAAATGACCACAAATAAGGCCACACCAGAACTACCTGCACAACCATGTTCATTGCAGAATTATTTACCATAGCTAAGATATGGAACCAACCCAGGTGCCCCTCAGTAGATGAATAGATCAAGAAGATGTGGTATATATACACAATGGAATTCTATGCTTCCATCAGAGAGAATGATATATCCTCATTCATAAGGAAATGGAAAGTCTTGGGGGAGGGGAATCTATTAAGCAAAATAAGCCAGGCACAAAGAAACATAGACTGCATGGTTTCCTTCATTTGTAATAAACAGAATATGTCTAGGATATTCTTAGCAGAGGATCACAATAGCTCAATAGCTATATACATAAGACCATATAAAATGATGTTTATCAAAATGAACTCCAAGAAATGGAAACAAGAGGTTTTCAGTGTAATATTTGCAGTTCTTCCTTTTTTCTTTCTTTCTTTTTTTTTCTTTGGTTTATTCTCTGTTGTCACTGTTTTTTATTTCTGTACCCTTTGTCTTGTATATAAGTTTATCTAATTTGGGGAGGGGAGAGGGAATCAAAGAAATGATGGGACAAAGGATGAACCAATCCAACAGTTGATACTCACTAGACACTATGCTAAAAATGAACTTTATAACTTAGGGGGAAGGAAAGTTGGGGGGAGGGGAAGAAAATGAAATGTACTCAATGTGCTCAAATGTACTCAACGTACTCAAAAAGAAAGGTACTCATTACCTTACTTATATAACTGCAAGCCCTCTGTATATCACCTTAAAATAACTTTTTTTTTGGGGGGGGGTCCGGTCATGGGGCCTAAACTCTGGGCCTGGGCGCTGTCCCTCAGCTCTTCAGCTCAAGGCTAGTGCTCTACCACTTGAGCCACAGCGCCACTTCTGGCTTTTTTCTGTTTGCTTATGTGGTGCTGAGGAATCAAACCCAGGGCCTCATGCATGCAAGGCAAGCACTCTACCACTGAGCCACCTTCCCAGCCCCACATTTACAATAACTTTTTAAGTGGGTGATGATACCCACATCCAAACACACTTAGGCACCCACAAGTGTGTCCCCACAGTCACCATCTCCAGTTCCTCATCAGGATGAAAATAAACACACAGCATGCTAACACAAAACAAAACTATCACAAATATCTAGAGTTTCCACACGTGGGAAATTCGACTCACAAACAATACCAGAGAACAAATGTGGATATTCAAACAAAAAGCATCTTTCCAAATACATGCCCATAACCTAGGAGCATACATGTTCATGCACAAACACATTTTCACTTGGACACCATGAACTCATCCAGAGGGGGTTAGGAGCTCAGGTCCCAGCCTTGGGGTGTTCTGCCCTGTACACTCCCATGTGAGCACCAAGCTCCACCTTTGTCCTCCCTCCCAACCTCCACACTCTGGTCTTGTGTGACAAGACCTGTTCCTAGCTTCTTGGTCAAAAAGCTCAATTCTCTGTCCTTCCTTGGTCCATGCTTAGGCCCATGTGACTTCTCACAACCAATGCTTGTTCTCTTCTAGTCACTGTATCCCTATTCAATCTGTGATTCTAGATTGGGCAATGGAGACCATTGCTCTAATCAGGTTGCAGATTTACTCAACAGCTTTCAACTGAATAAGGAATGAGGCCTAAATGCAGACCCTGACAGACCCTGACAGTTTTTCCCCTTGTCCCCCTCCTTATTCCTTTCTACATACTTCTAGCAGATTCTGCTTGCTCTGTGCTCTATAAGGGATGCCTTTCGCCAAACTGGAAAAGTCTATTATTCCTTGTTCTCCATGTTTCACTCAGAAGCCACCATTCACTTAGAAGCCTTCCCTAGCCCAGTCCCCAGGGGATTAGTCCTTAGAACAAAATCTTCCTCTTTCCTCTGGCCCAGTCCAGCCATCTGTCTGCCTTTTATCGTAGATATAGATATGCTTGTTTAATCTCTGCCTTCTTCAGGGGCCCTGGGGCCCAGAAATAACGAGGCATGATTAGTCTCAATACTGAATCTCCCACTTTCCTAGGACCCTGCACCTGGTCACTGTTCAAGACATGCCGAGAGGAACATGAGTTGCCTGTGCTAGATATGGGCCATCTCTCTGCATCATGCACCTACTGTGTGGTCCCTGCACTGAGCCACTCCACTCTACACCTAACAGCCTGATCTTGGGCAAACACTCACTCTTCTTGCCATCAGCATCATGATGCATCTTCCGAGCCAAGATGCCCTGCTTATATGTGGGCACTGTTGGGTCCTGAGCCAGCTGGTGGAAAGGGTTATTCATCTTGTTAGCTGGTGGAGGTGGTCGGGTCTTCTCAGATCCAGTTACGTCCTCTTCATCCCTGAATGAAAGAGAATCAGGCTGGAGCAATGGTTGGGCAGAAACTACCAACCAGGAAGTACCCACCATCTCTTACTAGGAAGACACAGGATAAGATCTCTAGAAAAGAATCTTCATCCAAAGGCAAGCTTATCAAATTCTGGAATGTTGACAGAGCAATCCCTTGCTACCACCGATAGCTTCTTCAGTATTACCTGGACTCCTTTACCTTCCTTAAGACTGACCTAATCTCCCACTTATGGCTCCACCCACCCAAAGGGAGTACTGTCTGCGGCCCTGAACTTCTCCATTTCTCAAGTAGGTCATAGAGTTAGGAAGGCTTAGAGGCAAGGGCAAAGCCAGAGAGAGGAAAGGGGCTCTCACTTACACAGTCCACTCAAGCTTCTCACTTCGGATAGACCAGTAGAGGGTCTGAAATAGAAGCATGCAGGTAGGCAGAACACCCTCAGGGTTGTGATGCCTAAATTCATTCTAACAGTTAACACATGTAAGGCCTCTTACCTCTACCCTCTTTATAGTTGTCCTTTTCTTTGAGCAGCCAAGCATCAATCTATCCATTCACCCACCCATCCACCCACCTAGCCAGTCAGCCAGCAAGCAATCCATCTGTCCATATACCCAAGCAAAATGCAACAAAGTTAATTATGGCCTTGTGATGGGTGTTAGAGACATAAAGATCATCAAGGCAGCCAAGTCTCTGACCTGCCCAAACTTAGTGAGGCCTGAACTAGACTTTTTTTTTTTTTTTTGATCAGCTGTGGGGCTTGAACTCAGGGCCTGGGCACTGTCCCTGAGCTCTTTTGCTCAAGACTAGCACTCTACCACTTTGAACCATAGCACCATTTTTGTTTTTTGAGTGGTTATTTGGAGATAAGAGTCTCACAGGAATGTTTCTGCCGGGGCTGGCTTCAAACCACAATCCTCAGATCTCAGCCTCCTGAGTAACTAGGATTACAGGCATGAGCCACTAGTGCCTGGCTGAACTACTCATTTTAACAGGAGACATAAATCACTCACACACCATCCTGCTCTGAGGGATCTGACAAAGAACCTGGCTGAACAACTCTGGCAAGAAACGTTTGATAAATGAACAAATAAATGATGTGCTAGAATTTTTTTTTTTTGGGTCCGGTCGTGGGGCCTGAACTCTGGGCCTGGGTGCTGTCCCTCAGCTCTTCAGCTCAAGGCTAGTGCTCTACCACTTGAGCCACAGCACCACTTCCGGCTTTTTTTCTTTTTGCTTATGTGGTGCTGAGGAATCGAACCCAGGGCCTTGAGCATGCAAGGCAAGTGCTCTACCACTGAGCCACCTTCCCAGCCCTGTGCTAGAATTTTTTAAATAACATGGTAAATATAATTAATCTAGATGTATCTTACTTACTTTTTTAACCCCTGAAGCACCTAGCAAGGTATTTGATATGTAGTAAGAGTTCAATAAGTCATTACTAAGTATATAAAAGAGCCAGTGATATAATTGCTCATGAAGCACATGACAGGTGCAAAGCACCTGAAAATTTTTATTTCTTTTTCTGTTTGTTTTGGTGGTTTGAATTCAGAGCCTTACTAGGTAAGCACTCCAACACTTGAGCTATACCCCATTCCATTTTTGCTTTTAGTTATTTATAGATAGGGTCTAAAAAGACAACCATCAGCCTATCTCTATCTCTTACATAGCTGGGATTACATGCATATACCACCATGCTCAGCTATTAAATCCTGATATTGGAGTAGTTATGCCTCCAGGAGGACTTGAGTTCCCCAAGACTAGGAACATTTCCCATCTGACCTCTTCACTTTCTCTACATGAAATTTGACTTTTTTATCTTCTCAGATGACCAATAAACCAACTCAAGGTCTCAGAGGCTGAAGGTTAAAAAATTATAAACGATAAAACATTTGAAGAAACCCAGCCAGCCTCACAGTGCAGCTTAGTAGGTCCAGGACTAAATATTCACAATTCACAAATTTCAAGATATTGCTGATGCTGCTAGCCAGGACTACACAGACACTCTGTCTTCTCAAGCATATTTTAGTAGATGCAGGCCTGAGCTCCAAATCTCCTTCAGACAGGAACCAAGGCTCCAGGACATGGAGCCCAGGCCGGGTCCTAGCAAGGAAGCCATACCTTCAGCAACTCTTTGGGGAAGTTACTACCATCCTGCAGGCCAGTCAGGTTGGTTATGAATTCCTGGCAGCTCATGTTCTTCCCAATGTTCTGTGGCCATGGAGAAAGCAGAACAGCTATAGCACCTCACCCTTATAGAATATACCCCTAGGTGGCAACTCAGGAACATTCTCCAGTTCCCAAAGCCCACATGCCATAAGGCCCTAGCCCTGGCCCATCCCAAGCTTCTGACCCCTCCTGCCCTTTCCCCACCCAATCCTCCATGCCACAACCCCCATTCTGACCTCTGCCTCAGATTCACAGGCACTAGCCCACCTTATTACCTGTCCATGCAGGTCTGTGTTAAGAAGCATGATGGCACAGGTCAAGGTGTGTATGGAATCTGCCAAAGAGAGAGAGCCTGAGAGAGAGGGAGAGAGAAAGCCTAGATTTCTGTATCTTCTTCCACACTTGGCTGGGCTGTGTGACCCCTCTCTCTCCCTCTCCCTAATTTCTCTATGGCCCAAACACATTCCTAGCAGCTGCCACCCAGTGAACTCCTAGAATATACAAAGACACTTTGGTGCCATCCCCAGACAAGCCCCTCCTACCTACTGAAGGGAAGGCCCCAGGATTGCAGTAGTGGAAGCGTTTGGAGAATTGGTAGAGGATTCGCTCCCGCTCCTGGGTCTCACCGCTGAGCACCAAGGCCTGGAGGAAGCCCCTGAGAAGGGCCAGAGTCAAAGAGAGAGTCAGACAGGGATGCCCCACAGACCCCAGGGCCAATCACACCCCAGCCTTGGCAGGGGCCACTGCTCTGCAGCCACTCATCCTCCGCAGCCCCACAAAGGTATTACCGGAGGGCTTGGTCCAGGTTCTGGCCTCCAAACTGGAAGAAGGACAAGTACTCCTCAGCCACAGCCCTGCTGAAGTCATTGCTGCCAAGGGAAAACGGAGATGAAAACTGGATGAAGGGGCAGGCTGGGCTCATACAGAGGGGCCTACAGGGCCTGTACACATGGTGCCTGATGTGGCAGGGGCTGAACAACAGAAAGCTATAACCTGGCTAGACCCCAGGCCCCAAGAGGGCAGCCAGTGTCTGGCCTGGCCCTGGTATCTTGTCCAGTGTTTCATGGGAAGGACTATATAAAGTTTGGGGCCAGCAAAGGGAATAGACCCAGAGGCTCTAAGAGGAACAGGGAGTGCTAAAGAGGTGACTAGGTCATGCCTATTCTGGAAGAAAGCAGTAGAGACACAAGGAATGGGGGAAAGGATAAGGATGGGGATGGGGAAGAGCCAGGTCAAGGGTAAGAGGCAGTGATGGGGCTGGAGGGGGACAAAGGGGACACAGAGCTGGGAAGGACAGGAGCAGCCAGTGGCACAGATCCATTGCAGTTCTCCCCTGTCCCACCTCACCCTTGTGAGCTTTATTCAGGCTTTAAGCTCCTTACTTTTTCTGTAGGTAGGCAGCCACTTCAGACTTCCGGAAACCTTCCAGGTGATAGAGGCGTGAGGCCAGGTTCCAGGCCTCCTTGTCATTCCTGATACCATTAGACAACTTGTCTCTAGCTGGTTGACTCAGGCCTTCCTCTGGGAACTGTGCTTGGGGCACGGGGCTCTCCAAAAGCCTGGAAGAGTCCATTGGTGTTCTCAGACTTCCACTTGGAATGGACATGCCAGTGTTTTACATTAAGAATCCTTGCAGTTCAATTGTAAAAGGGGTGCCCAGGACTCAGGGTCATTGCTGGAGCTCATGGGCACTGAATGGTTGAGCTGAGGAGAGCTGGTCTCCAGACCCTCACATTTGGGGGAATTAAAATGGAGTTTTGTAATGTACCATTTCCCCTATCTAGAGCAGCCCTTACCACAGGAGACTGTCTGGAGACCTCTGACCAGTCAGAGAAGCTAAAACTGAGACTCAGATTTCACTCAGCCCAACTTCAACCCATCTCTTCTGTTTCTCCTGAAATTTTACAGACAGTGTGGAGTTTCCTAGTTATTTAAATATTCATTATCTGAGTTACAACAATTAGGGAGTTGAGCAGGTAGGCAAATGTCATTACAATATGAAAATAGGCTCTGACTAATCACTTACTAGATGTCATTCAACAGCTCTCTTCACTGAATGTGAATGGGTCAGCTCTTTCCTGATCACTTCTCAGCTTCCTGAAGCTCTCAAATATCCCACAATGCAGGATAAATGTGACAGAAACTAATTGAAAAGTAAAATTACAAATCTTGCCTAAAATAGGATTTCATGATTTCCCAGAAAGTGATGCTGGATAAATCGAGGAATTTCATGGAAAAGCACTGACAATGAAGAACTGTAAAGATTACTCTACTCAAACAAAAAGTAGGAAATAAAAGTGACACAACTGTCATACCTAAGAGAATTCTTTGAATAACCAACTGAAGGAAGCCCTAAACAATGTCTAGATAAGGAAGGAAGCACTTTGGGAAAGTGACACTGTAAATACAAAGTGTCATGGAATTGTATACTTTAAGTGGGTGAGCTGTATGGCATATGAATTATATTTCAATAAAGCTGTTTTGGTTTGGTTTCTTTGCTTTGGTTTGTTTTTTTGAGGCAGGAGCTCATTATATAGCTTAGCCTTGCTGGAACTTTATGTAACCAAGGCTATCCTCCTATCTTACCTTTCTGAGAGCTGGTATTATAGACACAGGTCACCATACCTGGATGCCTTGAATTCATTTTAGTATCTAGCATAATAAAACTCATTTTTCAGATACTAAAACCAGCCGCTGAATGACTTCAAGGAAACATGGTTTCCAGATTTATAAGGAACATAGTTATTTGGTTTGTGGCACTAACATTCAGTCTCTGTCACCCATGGACAGTGTGATGGTGATGGTACTGAGGTGGAACTTGGGTCCTCATGCTTGGTAGGCAAAGCCTCTACAATTTGAATCATGCCCTCGATTGTTTTGGCTTTTAGTTTAGTTTAGTTTTTTTTGTTTGTTTTTTGTTTCTTTTCAGATAGAGTCTCATGCTTGTCCTTGGTATGGTCTCAGACCATGATACTTCTAATGTTCTTCTTAAGTTGCAAGGGATACAAGCATATATTTCCATACTCAGCAGCCTCTTAGTTTTTTTCAATATGAATCTAGTCAGCCTACCCCAGATCAAACCCCTTTTCTAACAAAGCATTCTCAGAAGCTGGGAGTCTTAAAGCAGCATCCTGTCAGAAGCAGACACTTAGGTAGACACAGTTGGCTTCCCAGTTGGCATATTATCTCTGGCCACAGTTTTGAGATTACACAATTCTACTGAAAGCTCCAAGATTATCTCTCAGGCCAAACCAAATTTCCCCTTGATGAGACACCAGTCACCCCTCTGAAACTGGGCTCTTAATGGTGAATTTCTCCTAATACTTCAAGTTCAAAGCAGTCTATAATCTTTACTCACAAACTAGTTCTACCTCCTATCTCAGAAGCCCACACGTGGTCCTAGTTTGAATCTCGGAATACTTCTAGCTCTTCCTCCTCTAGTGGTGACCAGTTGTGGACATTTCTTATGATACTGCTTTTGTACACTCAAATTCCCACATCCTGTGCATGGTATCCTGCCCTTTAGTTTTTATGTTTTTAAATCTATATTGGTATTTAGTCATAAAATCCATTTAATACAATGTGAAGACTGTAATAAGTATTAGTATGTTAAATCCCAACCTTCTTACAGTTCATTTAAATCAGGGTACTCTTTTTGCTTGTTTTATTTAAGTTGCTTTAGGATTGGGGATGTAACTTAGCTATAGTACATTTGCCTGATGTGCATACAGCCCTAGGTCCAAACTTAAACTGCATTAATTTGAACATTATTTTTTCTCATTTAATTTTAACTTAATTAACTCAATTAATTTATCACTATGATCTTATGAAGAGCTGGAGAAAATGCTTCTTCTGATAGTTTTTCCCTTTCTTCCTTCCGTTCTTCCTTCCTCTCTCTCTTTCTCTTTTCCTTTCTTCCACTCTTTCTTTCTTTTGTGTGCTGGTACTTGGAGCTTGAACTCAGAGCCTGGGCACTGTCCTTTAGCTTTTTTGCTTAAGGCTGATGTTCTATCATTTGAGACACAGCTCCACTTCTGGCATTTTGATGGTTAATTGGAGATAAGAATCAGAGATAAGAGTCTCATAGACATTCCTGCTCAAGCTGACTTTGAACTTCAATCCAGCCTTCTGAGTAGTTAGTATTACAGGCTTAAGTCACTGATTCCCAACCCCAGAGTATTCTTAAATGCAATTATAATTAGGGGCCTGCGAGACAGTGACTTTGAGACTTACCCTTCTGTGGAAGCCAAATGAACATTTAGCTGGGCACCTACAACCTTTGTAGTCTTGGTTGTGTCTTCTCTCTTTACTTCTTGCTTTGGGTCTGGGGTCTCTTCTGCCTCTTCTTTCTTCTGGGAGCCTGACTCTGCCCTATTCATCTCCAGAAGCAAAGGGTATAAGGCATCAGGTGGCCACTTGGGAAAATTCCCAGGGCTGTGGTTCTGAAGCTGTGGGCTGCTCTCTTGAGAGGACACAGGGCTGGCTCCAGAGCCAAGGTCTCTGACCTCAGACACTGGGCCACTAGGTTCTGGCAAAGAGGCTTGGCTCCCCCAGGGACCAGGGGCCAAGGTGCAGGGAACAGGTTCTTGGAGATGACCAGCATTCTTCTCACCTGAGGAAAAGTAGGAGTCAACAAATCCAGAGCAGGAAGTATAAAAACAACTGGTTACTGCCTGGCAATTTCCCTCTGTATGGAGTTGGGCAGCACACCCCCTCCTCCCACAGGTAGTGATCTCTCCCACACTATGCAGCCAGTTGGTCTGCAGAAACTCCCAGGACTTTAGTCCCAAGGTAACTAAGGACTCAGGACTCTTGTTGAACTATTAAGATCCAAAAATTCCTTCACTTAACTCTTTTTTTGAAAGTCTATCTTACTGGAAAATCTATCTTACTGATGAAGAATTAACTCCAACTCTATTTGTCTCTAATATGATGCAAGAACCCCAGGAATCAATTATCTCTATTCTGAATCCCAAAACTCCTCACCATCTGATTTCCTAGAACCTCATAATGGGTCTTACCTCTGTCCTTGGAGAGAAGTTCCGGGGGCCAGGAAGGACCCTCTTCTAACTGCAAGTCCTCAGGGCTGGGTGGGACCTGTTCAAAGATGTACATGCCTGTCCATAAACTCAGGAGACAGAAAAGAGAGTGGGGCAGGTAAGGAAGGAAGGAATAATGCTGGGAGTATATGGAAGCCCCTCTGTCTTTGTTGTCCTCACACCCCAAATCCATAAACACCAGTTTAGGACCTTGTTTCAGAAGAAGAAATGGATATGAGCCCACAGAAATCAATGGGTTCGTATTCCTCCTTCACAGATACATATGGTATAGCCCACAGAGGAAAAGGACTTGCCCAATGCTGCACAGGATGTATGTCAGGGCTAAGGTCAGTTCCAATGTGTCCTGTCTCCGGGGTCAATACTTGGTCCACACAAGATACTACAGGTGAGGCAGGGCCAACCTTGTCTTCCAAAGAAGCCTGAGAGAGAAATAACAAGGGGTAGAGAGAGAGGTTTCACCAAAACAGAATGCCTGCCAGACCCTTTCCCATACTTTATGAGGCATCTCCTCTTCCCAGGCTACTCAGATGGCCTCATCTGGAGCAGCATCCACCCTAGGAAGGCTGTCTTATTGAGACCTACTGGGCTGAGTGAGAGAATAAGAGACAACTTGGAGTTTCAACTGTCATTTCCCAAACTTCCATCTCAGGACTCTTAAAGCAAAGTCCTAGGAGAACACATCTCTATAGAACCCGCAGCTCCATTGTTCTTTGGGAATGGAGAGATTGGAAAGTAAGTCTTAGCCACCCAAGTTCCCTTATCTCTAAAAGAGAGGACTCGCTGGGAAAACTATGCTACCTATTGTCTCACATAACTTGTCCCCATACCTGGGTGATATCAAGAGTCTCCTGCCATTGTCATGACATATCCTGATCTATTGACACTGGACAAGAAAGTGAAAGATGGTGAACTAAAAGTATCAAAATGCTGAAATGTCTCAAGAAAATAGAGGTCAAAACTCTTGAAATAGAAACTAATCTGTTAGCAGCAGCAGTCAAGTCTAGGCTGCCTCTGCCAAGTTCTAGTTGGGAATGTCTTAGAGATGAGAGGGGAGGAATCTGAGAGTGGCCAGAAAGTCCCTGCAATTGAAGAGCTCTTACTCTCCAAAGCTTTCTATGCATATGAAATGGAGACATTTGTGGACTTAATTGCCATCTTGTTCAGTTGAAATCATGGCATAGATAAAATCTCCTATAATTTTGAAAGCTACACTGGCCATGATTTTCTACAACTCTTATCCCAGATCTCAAAAGGTCTTAGTAACATAAAAGAGTGTTCTGAGCCCTATAGCCCCCAAGGAAGGCCCTCCATATAGTGTCCCCAGCACTGGGCTGATTTCTTGGAATAAACTTACCTCATCTTGTTCCTCACCAGAAGATGCTATGGAATCCCCTTCAGTGGCATCTCGTGAGGCCCAGCAGAATTGGTGTGATTTGTAGGAAGGCACAGGAAATGGAGGTGTGGTGTGCCCACTGGAATTAGTTGTGTTGCCCTCCAAATCTGGCTCACTTCCTGAGCATCCTGGGATTGGAGACTCCAGAGTCTGTGGGTTGTCAGGCCTAGTCCTCATGTTGGTATGGGAATCTGTGATCCCCCAGGAAAAGCATTCCCCAGCAACACTGGCATCTGAGCAGGGGCTCTCCAGAAAGAGAGGGTTATCAAAGAACACACTCTCTTCTTCAGCACCCCACTCCACGGAGGAGCCTGGCATGTCTGCCCTTGGCCAGGCTTGGTTTTCCCCTTCAGACTCGCTGTTGTCATCCCTAAAATCTTCCTCCACGGGTGGGCTAGAGCTCAGACCTATATTTCCAGAGAAGTCTGGAGGGGGTGGGGGAATGCAACATCTCAACTCAGCCCTGAGCCCTTCAGTCTTTTCCAGCTCCTCCTCCAGGTCCAGGACACACATCTGGGCCTGCAGGATGCCAGCCCAGAACACCACCTGTGTGGATGAGCTCTGGCTCTGCCGTGGACACGCCAGAGTTTGGCTGCTCCTCAGAGTCCCTAGTGATGTTGATGTGTGTGCAGGCTCCCCCTGGGAAGAGCAGCTCTCCAACTGTGTAGGGTCCACACCAGAGCCACTATGAGGAGCACCATGCCTGGTGGATTCAGGAGGGTCAAAGGTCCAGGTTTGTTCTCTGCATGGTTCCGTCGGTTCTGGTTGGCTACATGTGTCCCCCAGACATGCTCCTGGGCAGAGCTGCAGGTCATCTCCCAAATACATGTTGAGAAATTCCACTGTCTCAGGTTGGTCTGAGAGTCTGTTGTCACCCATCATCCACAGAGCAAAAGCTAGGTAGGAGACCCTTAGGAGTGTCTGTTTTCACAATCCCACTTCATGGATTAGGAGGAACACCAGCCAAGGAGGTAACTGGGAACTGACATCTACCCTGGAAATTCCCAAAGTGAATATAGGTTAGAGGACTGTTAGCCTCTGGAAGCACCAAAGTGTTAGACATGTTTAGAGTGCCTGTCAGAGTTATGGCATTGCCTTCATAGCCCACAAGGGACTATGATGTGCCATCAGATCCCATAATCTCAGACTGGCACCAGGGCAACATAAGCCCCAAAGACACTCTGCTGAAAGCATCCCATATGGCTTAGCTGGAAAGGAGAATGTAGAGACTGGGGTGGTTGTATCAGAAGCAGAAGACATAAATATCTCAGGCCTTTTGAAGTTAATAGAAATCCAAAATGGTATGTTAACTGGAAGATGGAGGGGGAGGTCAAAGAGACATAGACTGGCAGCAAGAATGGAGCATCCTTATGGAGCAATAAGCACCTCTGAGAGAAAGGGCACGGCCTGCATAGTTTTACTGTGTGAACATCTTGCCTCTAAGGCCTATTTCATTCATAGGGCTAGATCACAAGGCACAGTCTTGTTCCTTCCTAGCTGCACACAGTCATGCAATTTGGTTCAGGCAAAGGCAGCTAAGGCTTCTCCTCATGGCAGAAGGAGTTCAAGCCTTTCTTTCCCATGGAGGAGAGTAGACCACACACAGCATGGAGAGGAAATCGGTCTTGTTATTGTTCTCTAACTATTTTAGTTAGGTCTTCTCTTATCATTCACGGTTCCATCTCTTCATCACACATCCCCAGCCTCAAGCTGAGGAGTTATAGGGTTTGTCCCCTAAGTCCCTGACTTAGCCACAATCTGCTACCTTGTTCCTGTATGCAGCAGCCCATTTCTGTTCTCACTGCTGTCTAGGTTAAGAGGCTTGTGACAGTCGTATTTTCAATAGGGAAGGTATGAGTGGGCCATAGGATATACTATAGTTTATCTCTAGAGTGTTCCCCAAAGGCTCATGTATTTAAGGTATAGTCACTAGTTTGGCACCATTAGGACGTGGTGGAAACTTTAAGAGGCAGGGCCTAGTGGGAGGCCACTGGAAGTCCACAGTTGAAGAGACTGTGTGACCCTAGTTCTTCTTTTTTTTGTTACTTGGCCATGAGATGGGTAGTTTTGCTCTGCCAAATGTTCTCTCCATGATGTAATGTTTTGCCAAAGGCCCAAGGCAACAGAGCCAATTAACCATGGATTACAACCTTCAAGAAGACGAGCTAAAATAAAATTTTGCCCTTCATTTAAACTATCACAAATGTTTGTTGAATTGATAAGAAACAAATACAAGTTTACTTGAGTAAACTTTTGGATCCCAACCTCTCCCCCATCAATAAGCCTGTTTCCTTACTCTCTCTAGAGTAAGGAGGTGAAACATCCCACTATTGAGGCTTCCTCGGGAAACTGTCCTTAGAGTACATTGACAATGAATGGCAAGAGCAAATCACCTAGAAGCTAGAAAGGAGTGGAGAGAGAAGCACCTGGGTAATAGGTAATGAAATACAGACAAACAGTTCCACCCAACTGCCTCCCACTTCAGACCATAAGAACACCCTCCCCTGTCTCCTCTTTCCTCTGCTGTGCCTACCTGGCTCCTCTCCTGTGCATGTCCTTTCTCCCGTCCTCCTCCCTGAGCCCTACTCACATTGCATCTCAATATTATCCTCATGCCCTGTGGGCATCAGAGCATTTTGCCAGAATAATATCAGCTCACTTACATTCACTGAGAACTTACTTCACAAATCCACATTCAGATAGTGGGAAAAGAGGTAGGGCCAATGGGAAAGGTGTCTTGGATTTTTTTTCATAAGATCAGAGTTCTACATGTATTTCTTTGAAATACATATGTGAACAGGAAGCTGCCACATAGCAAGAGACCAATGGCTATGTTGGACATCTCTGAATATAAGACTTACCTTCCCAGAAGGAATCCATTGTCCTTGCTGAACATTTTTTCAGAAGAGGAAATAATTAGTAAATCTACAGCAAACTTTATGGAGACCAGAGAGAAGAGAGATGGTTTCGGCCTACAGAGTCAGAAGGGTGTGCAAATAAAGGGGGCTAGGAAATGGAGGGGAGCCTCAGATAAGGGAAGGAAAGGCAATTTAGATCACAGACAGTATGTGGTTGTTAGGGCTAGGTATGTGGTATGACTAGTCCAAGACTCTTTAAACCAATTAAAATCAACCTGACTCTAGTCCATCCCTCATTCTGATTTCAGAAACCCTATCCTAGTGTGTGATTCTTTGTGTTTCCCCCAATGATTCTAGTTGCCTGGAAATAAGTACCAAGAAGGCAGGTTCTTTGTGCTTTTCATTCACTGCTAGGTCTCTGCTACGTGTAGCTGGCTGCATTATCCCTACTCCCATCTACCAAGTGTTAGGGAGCATATTGATATCCTGTAGTTCAGTGGATTAGAAGACTAAAAAGTGACTCAAGAAGCTCAAGTGCAGCCTGGTGGAAGGTAGGCCTAGCACCACAAAAGCCACATGAGTAAGCACATGGCTTTGGAGTAGTGCTGCCACATTTAGCAAATAAACATATTAAGGGGCTGAGGATGTTGCTTAGAGCTCTAAGACAAAATTCACAAGCAACTCTACATCTGGCCAGCCTTACCACCAGAGAAAAATGTCACCTGGTTCCTCATCTGTAAAACAGAGAAATAAGATGGTGTAAAGCTCCCCTGCTGGTTTGCTATAAAAATGGAACCAGGTCTAGGTCTGGCTCTTAAGAGGAACTTCAGAAGCTATTATGTTTTGCTCAGTTTAAATCTGTGGCTCTGCCATGCATTCAAAGAAGCAAAAACAAACAACAACAACAACAACAAAGACCCCAATAACCCTCCTGGTGAAACTCAGCCAAATCCTCACATTCTCAGCTGGGGAGACTCCTGCAGAGCTAGCGCAAGCTTTCTTTCTAGAGCACTATGTTTGTCCATCTGTCTCTCTCTCTCCTCCCCACCCCGCTTCTCTTTAAACATTCAGACTGAGCAAGCAGCCTTCCTTCCTTCTTGGAAATATTTTCCTTCTTGGAAAAAGCATAAAGGCTTCTTCTGCTTACAACCCAGGAATGTAATTGAGCTGCCTTGCCCCTGTGTAGCCCAGACTGCTGTTTTGTTTAGACATAGCCCTGGAAGGGGAGCTGTCTAACCCTAACTGTAAACAACTGCCTCTTCCTGCCATACACACCTGACCAGAACCTGGGCCCCCGAGCACTGTGAAAATTGACAACACTGGAAGGAGTCTTCATGTAAATGTGCACAGAGAGAGAGGTCCCCTGAGCCTTATGTTAGAACAAGCAGAAGCTCATAAAGGAAACAGAGTGGGAGAGGAGGAAGCTGTGATTTGCACCAAAGAGTTCCAGAACATCTGTGGTCTTGATGGGCCTTTCTTTCCTGTCCTTTCACCCTAACAGCTGGGTTTGAATCTCCAAGTTGGATGGTTTCTTATCTGTAAAGGGGATGGTACTGTGATAGCCTACAGCCCCAGGAAGCAGTGGACAGACCTCAGGGCTCATTATTTCAAGCTTGGCTAAAGTTCAGCAACCTTAAGCGGTATTTATTATCAGCTGATGACAGGTTACCCTTCCCAGCCTTGGAGCAGAAGAGTGACTGGAAAGTGGAATCTAGGTTTTAGAATAAGGAAGCAGAGGTTAGAGCCTTGCTCCTGAGATTCCTTTTACCATCAAGGTAACAACTGTTACCAAAAAGCCTTACAGTGTCTCAAATAGAGATGCCTTTGAGAATGGCATGGCTCCTCCAGTATATCAGAATAACAGACCTAAACCACAGCTAAACAGACAGGAAGGATATAGTACCGCGGGGTGGGGCCCAGAGCATAAGATGGAGCCGAGAGCCCTCTAATGGTCCCCTCCCCTAAGGCACTCAGAGCTGTCCCAGCCTTAAGCCTGCTGGGACTCTCTCTAGGGTCTAGGGTCAAAGTATATTGGAGGTCTTGCCACCGCAGTCACAAGAACTTCAAGAAGGCTTCCTCTGTCCTTCACTCTTCACTATTGCAGACCTCCAGGGATCTGGGACATGATCCGGGGACTAGGAAGACATCAGGGAGGAAGGGACAGATGAAAAGAAGGTAGGAGGAGGGAGGAGGCATTTGGAAAGTAGGAAAGGGAAGGATGCCACCCTCTAGTGAGGCCAGACTCATGCCAGGTGAACAGGCAATACCACACAGGCAATACCACAAAGCCCTCATTTCTTTCCTGCCCACCTATCCCATCTCTACCAGGAGCTCTCCACATTCCTGGATCCTCCAAGGCTTCTCCCAGCCCTACCCCAGGCAGGTCCACCTGGCTCACCTCCAAAGGACTCAGAAGGGGTAAACTGTCCTGAGCTCCCCAGTCCCAGGAACACTTCCTGCTGCATAGTCATCTGCCCCGTGAATGTGGTAGCTGAGCTTCCGACTTCCGCTCTCCTCACCACAGTGACACACACCCCTCCTACTCTCCAGATCTCCCCAGCCCTCAGAGCTGCTCAGTACCTACATTTCTGCCCACAAGACAAGAATATTTACTCAACTCTAGCACCTGCCAGTCCCTTTTCCCACATAGTCCTTTGATGGAGGTCTAAAGACTGAGACTGGACACAAAATGGGGCCAAAAAAGTACCATCACACACTGGACTAGCTTTGCTCACATATGCAGAGAAAGGCCTGTGAGAGAGAGGGGGGAAGACATCAAGGCTGAGGCTGTGGCAGGCCCCTCCCCCTTCCTCTCTGGGTTATGCTCCAGCTCAGTCTTCTCTCTAAAATACACAGTGGGAGACAGGAGGGCCCCAAGTCAGGCAACTTATTTTTGTTTTTAGTATATGGCATTTCAAGTTTTATATGACTATGCCTCATGTCACCAGTAATAATGACATGGTGATTTAACTGCTTTGTCGTGTCCCCAAATAGAGCTCCTGCTCCAATTCTCACACCTACTTTGTAGAGCTTTATTATGCTCAGATCCAGACCTAGAGTCAGGCTCAGAGAGGTGCAGATGCTTCACTTGGAAGTCACAAAGTGATGTTGAAATTTGGAGCTTTCAAACATATGAAGTACCTGTCATTCACTCCCAGGCTATGAGTATCAAATGGGGGATGGAGGCTGGAGGGAAGCCACTTTCAGTTTACCATTCTCTCTTCCCTCTATATAATCTTCTCCAGCCTTAACCACCATCAATTTCTCTACTGATGGTCCAAAGATACCACAACAACCTAAGCTCTACACCTTATGAGCTCACCTATCTGTCTTGTTACCTCCATTGGCAGAACTATAATTGTAGTGACCCAGGCCACCCAGCCCAGGCTTCAGAGGACCTGGCCCTAGCCCAGGCCATTCTCCAGCCTTGCCTCTTTCACAGCACAAGGGAGTCATAGGAGCCTGCCTGGAGCCCATATACCCCTTTCTTCTACTACAACCTGGGTATCAAGGTCCTAGTATTCTCTGCTTCCAGCCTATTGGCCTCCTCTTCTGGTGGACAAAGTATTGCTGCTCTGGGCAGCCTGAGGTTGGGTTGGGTGGTAGCAAGAGTGCTAATAGAAAAGCTGAGAGGGGACAGGATGTGGAGCCACACCGATCATCCATCCTTGTAGACATGTGATATGGGGAAGAGAAAAGGAGGTGAGGCCACTTCAAGGGTCAAAGTCTGGGGTGAGCTCTGCTACAACAGCAGCTACATTTACAGGGTGAGAGGTAGGAGAACTCAGGTAGGATAATATATAATGTGGTTTATATCACAGTTTGTCAAGTTCACTTGCAATTTTTTTTCTGGGTCATGGGGTTTGAACTCAGGGCCTGGGCACTGTCCCTGAGCTATTTCACTCAAGGCTAGCACTCTACTACTTTAAGCCACAGTTCCACTTCTAGTTCTCTGGTGGTTAACTGGAGACAAGAGTCACATGGACTTTCCTGCTCAGGCTTTGAACCATGATCCTCAGATCTCAGCCTCCTGAATAGCTACGATTATAGATGTAAGCCACCAGCATGTAGCACTTGTAATTGTTACATATTTGACATGTCAGAGAGGTCAGAACAGAGAAGAGACAGAATGCTACAGATGTAAGCTTGCACCTCTTCATAGATGCTTTGTATTGAGATAGAGGGACCACCCAGGCAACAGCATTGGAAACTGCAGGTCTAATTCCTTACCTAGGGCAGCCAAGGTCTTCACTTGTCAGGGAATTGGCAGCAGGCCAGAGAGGAAGAGAAAATGATCCCCTTCCCCCCCCCCCCAGGCAGGACTGTGGAGCCAGCCAGGTCCCACTAAGTCCCCCTAACCATAAGCCAGAAACACTGGAAGTTAGGCAAGTTTGGGGGAGCATTTATTTTTCTGAATTTATGTTACAATATTGGAGATCAAACTCAGAACCCACTTGAGTCATATTCCTAGTCCTTTTACAGCAGGGTATTGTTTTGTTTGTTACATTTTTTCAGATAACTTAGCCCAGTGGATTGACTGAATCACTATGTTCTGCCTCCTGAGTAACTGGAACCACAGGCATTTGTCAAAATGCCTGGTTTGTTTCTGTTTTTTTGTTTTGTTTTGTTTTGTTTTTGGTCCAGTTGTGGGGCCTGAACTCTGGGCCTGGCCGCTGTCCCTCAGCTCTTCAGCTCAAGGCTAGCGCTCTACCACTTGAGCCACAGCGCCACTTCTGGCTTTTTTTCTTTTTGCTTATGTGGTGCTGAGGAATCAAACCCAGGGCCTCAGGCATGCAAGGCAAGCGCTCTACCACTGAGCCACCTTCCCAGCCCTGCCTGGTTTGTTTTTGAAATAAAGCTTTGCTAACTTTTGCCCTCAGACTTTGATCCCTCCACTTCCAACTGGGATTACAGGCATGTACTACCACACCCAGTTTTATGTACTTATTTTTTTAAAAATCATCTGCTGCATAGAGCATAGATTGTCAAGGGCTACATGAGAGCAAGGAGACTAGTTAGGCTCTTGTGAGGAAGTACCCTGGCCCAAATGAGGATAGGAATGGCAGAAGGTGCTAGGGCTAGGATTTGGGATATAGATCAAGGATGACTGGGAAGACTTCCTGCTTAAGTAGATGGGAATTGGAAAGATAAGAGAGAAGTCAAGGGCAACTTCCAGACTTCTGGGTTGAGAAACTGGAAGAACAGCAACAATGGCATTTGCTGAAATAAGAAAGAACTGGGGAAAGAAAGCTTAGGCAAGGGAATGAGGGGTTTGGATCTGAGAGATATTCAAGTCTATAACAACTCTCCCTCTCTTGGAACTCCACAGTAAGTAAGACCAGCCCTGGGGTGGTGGAGCCCCAGGGCAAGAAGGGGAAAGTCAGCAAAGAATACTGATAAGGGGCTGGGAGGAAGGTAAGAGAACTGGAAAAGTATTGTCACCCAAGACTAGAGTGGAGGTTACTTCTGAAGGAGGAAGCTAAACGCAAAATCAAGGAAGATAAAAGCAAAAGTGATCCATCATTGAACATGGACATTGTAGAGCAACAGATGAGCAAGGTTGGTAGGGCAGGATGGAGACAGAAGTCAGGTGTCCAGGAGGTGAGGACAGATGAAGAGGTGAGGAGGGTTGCCTACTTGACTCCAGGCTCTGTCTGGCCCTTCAAGTCTAACCTTCTCAGTAACCAACATCATACTGAGCTCTCTGAAGCTGCAATAGTACTGGCCATGCCAGAACTCTAGCCCTGAACTTGACCTTGAACTCCTCAAGGATAAGAGCTAAACATTCACCTCACAGCAGAGTGCCTTGTTTACAGTTGTCCTACAGTCATTTGATGAGTTCCTAAAGCAGCTCATCTTCCCTTCGCTTATCACTTCTAGACAATCCTGTGGGAAATGAATCTTTCCTTCCAGGCAATAGGTTTGGTGTGCATAAAGTGTGAGTGTGGCCGGGCGCTGGTGGCTCACGCCTATAATCCTAGCTACTCAGGAGGCTGAGATCTGAGGATCGCGGTTCAAAGCCAGCCCAGGCAGGAGAGACCGTGAGACTCTTATCTCCAATAAACCACCAGAAAACCGGAAGTGGCGCTGTAGCTCAAGTGGTAGAGCACTCACCTTGAGCT